AATAAACCAGGGTTAACACAGCATCCTGCTTTAGCTTCATTTTTAGAGCGGTTTTGACATCATTTTCTACAAATGATAGATAACTGCCATGGTAGAAGTGAGCTGCCCACTCTGTAACAGGTGGCCTCCAAAACTGAAAATTTTCAGTATTTTATACATATTCTATTTTAGTTTACATTTTTGCCAAGTTTATTAGGTCCACCAGTGCTTCTGAATTTTCAAAACTCTTGGTTTCTTTGTCAGTAACAGAAACTTCTCAAAATAAAAGCTTATCTGTTTACATGTCAATTGTTTATTAGACTACATTAGCACAAGCTGCATGGTATTACAGCTGGAAGTCTGACAGATTTCTTCTGGTATTGCAGGAAGCACTTAGAGACCTCTAAAAAAGACAGGCTTTTTAGACACATAATCCCTATGTGCTGTACCTGGCGCTTTATTCCCCTCTACACCGGGGACTGTTTTTGTTGTTAACTGTTTTTTTCCAAAGCCCTGAATAGCCTGAAAATTGCCTTTCTGTACAACACCCTGTCCTCAACATGCTACATCACAGCTACTGTATGCAGTCAGAAGGCTGTTGCTGTCTATTCCCATCTCCAAATTGCAAAGCTGAATGGCAGTAGGGCATGCGCTGAAAGAACAGAACTAACCAGGGAATTATTTTTATAGTCATAGAAGAGCCTGAGATTGCAGAATTCACAATTTGCCAATAGAAACTGAGGGTGAATGTGATATTTGAGAGGACAAAAGTAGCTATGAAAGGAATTCCATTTTCATTACCTGTCTCTATATATCTATGCGCAGATAGCAATTTTTAAAAATAAATATAAAATGCTATCAATTATTTAGATACACAGCATAACCAATTTTGCAAACAAGATTTGTAAAAGCATACTGTATATTCAGTGACTGGAGGCAGGACCTAGATAACACATTTCCTCAAAGTCATACCATTTAATTTCAGTTAAATCTTTGTCAAATTAAGTAGTTGTTATTTAGGCCCTCAAAAACAAATACTGAAATTCCAGAAAAATTTATCAGCAGAATTAATTGGCAAACACACTATGGAAGTTGAACCAAAAGCCATTAGAGGTAGGTATAGCTATTGGTTCCTTTTCCACACAGTAGCTGATGCACAGAAGGACTAAGCAATTCTCTCAAATCAAATTTCTCTCGAGGCAAGTTTAGTTGACTAAGCCAAGAACAGTATATGCCAGAGCTTCCTATTTCCAAGGCACACCAGGACCACAGTTCTTCTTTAATCACAAGTACTGCTACGTGCTTCCTCCTAAAAGATGTGCAAAATAAACAGTGCCCACAATTATCTTCTACAGCTCTCAGAACATCTTGCAAGATGACAACATAAAAAATTGAAATATTGCAGGTAGTTTCATTAAATGAGAAACAAGAGACTTTTCCAGTATTTATCCACGTGAATGTGTTTGGATAGGGTAGCAACAAAGGAATGGCAGATGTGTCACCTGAATGGAAGCACTGTCAGTACTTGCATCAAACCTCTTCCTCAGTTTTCTTTTTTAGCTATGTATCATTGCTGCTCTTAAAGATATCGGTGTGAAAAACCCTTGTGTCTGGGGGGTGGGAGCTTTGAGGGGTGGGTGGGGTATATTCCTTCTGTAAGGTTTAATCCTTTAATTCCCACACCAAATTTGATACATTTGTAGAATGTACTAGAAGATTCTGTAGTTCCATTTAGAGCATCTAGCCTTTAATTCAGTATTTCCCCAGAGAAGAATGTAGCCTTTTATTTCTCTTCAGTAAATTTTTTTTTTCCTCTTTTTAATTTTATCACCTGGAATAGCTGAATAATGCAAATCAGACTGACCTTTTCAAATAATTCCAGTCGAACAATAGTCAAATCCTACGTAATTTAGACATACGGAGGAAGGAGAAGCAGGTAAGCTAGAGTAGAAGACATCATTGAAGGCTTCAGGAAACAACATTTTTTTTATTTGCCTGGTGTGTTCTCCTTCTCTTTTAAACTGTTATCTCTAATTTAATCATTGCTCTGTCTCTAAGGACAACTATCATTTTTCAATATACTATTTCTTTTTGCTCGTTGAGAAGCCCCAACCACAGGTGCCCCAAATAATATTTATACAGAACAGAAACTGCTCACTCAGTGACTCACAAAACCCCTATCCATCTTCTCCACTGTTTTCTAGTCAAAATACTTCCCTAAAAAACTTAAAAAAGACAACCAGGTGTGGCAGGATAATAGACATACACATGAAAAGTATGTCTTAAATATTTACTATCTTACAAATGTCAATCACTCGGTTTACAGATGTACTTTTTCCCTGTGTGTCTATATATTGTCCAAGAATTTGCCAAGATATTGAAGAGAAATTGTAATCTTTTTCATTCTTCACATAGTGTAGAGACCCCAACCAGACTGAAGCTTCATCTAGCGCCAGATATTTCAACGTGACTGAAAGAAGCGACACAGTAGATGACTGCAGCCAGCCTTGCAGCCACCAGTAAAAGACATTATTCTGGTTTATTTTCAAGGGTTTCCTTGGGATGAGTTGAAGAGGAACTAATGGCAGACTGTTTGCAACTGCTAACAAGGTGCAGTAAGGGGTACTACTGTGGCAGGACAGCAAAAGACGTATAAATCCAGCATGCAGGCATTCAATCTCATGAGAGAATATTATGTAAAAATACGGCAAATAACAACGAATTCTGAAAGGAGTAGTCAGATGACCAAAAAAATCCATACAAACTGCCTACAAGCTATTCAAAAATAATGTATTAGAGGCCCTCAAAACCTTGAATGACTCAACCAAGCTAAAGCAGCTACACAGGGAATAACTCAGTTCAGAAAATCTTGTTCAGGGGAGGAGAACAGGAAAGGACAAAAAAAAAATTCAGGTTAAACAGTGAAGTAAGAGGGAATTTGACAGTGTAAGAAGTTGTGGAGGTATCTGTTATCAAAAAAGGATTTAGATAAATTAATGCACAGCAGGTTCATATAAATACACTACAGGTAATAGGCAGGGATGCATCTTCTAAAATCCCAACCCCAGTGACTGCGGCTGCTGTGGGAAGTGAGGCAGGCTCATGCACCCTGCCCTAACAGCTTTTGCTATTGCCATTGTCACAGACAAGTTACTGAGACTGACAGACTATCGAGCATCTCTTATGGTTGTGTAATTCAAAAGACGAGAGGAGTCATACTGCTGTGCCATACCCAGAGTGCCATCCACCAGATCACAGTGGCTCCTGGGGTTTGCCACTGCCCAGAATCTATTTGCGATGCAAACTTCTCTTATCTCGGGTACCCTAGAATTTCACCTGACTTCCTCTTTTTTCTTTTTTTCCTAACAGGGAGAGAGAAACACAGATGTAAAACCTGTGTGAATCGGTATATCTCTGGGTATCCAAGTCAACATATCTTTGTTTTAAATGGAAGGAATGTCGAGCGTTCTTAAATGCCCATTCATCTCACATAGTGATGGAGATGTTTTGTCACTCTGCAGACTGACAGACAATTGGAAACATAAAATTGTAGGTCTGAAAGTTAGAGGTTTTTCTGAAAGGACTCGCGATAAGCCTGAAACGCTTGCAACATCAGTACATCCAGTTTACCCAGTCAGCTCTTGCAACTTCAGACAGGAGGGTATAAGGAAATAAAACATTGCTGAATCACTCCATCTTTAAACTGAGAAACAAATACTTTTGGTGTCAAAAAGAAAGATTGCTTTCAAAGAAGATTCTCTAAAATGTGCAATAAATACTCTAAATATTACAAAAGTCTACTGACCTACCTAAGAAAATCATTAGCAGTCAGAGGGTTTGAATGTTCACTAATGAAGTTTTTATTTGTGTGCAATAAGAGACAGGACTTTTTACAGCTGGTCAATAGGATCAGACTGATATGATTTATTAGAATTAACAGGCTCAATTGCAAAGCATCCAGTGATCACAGATGGGAAAAGAAAGCAAGGTAGTTGTGACTGTAGATGAAGACAGCTGAGATCAAGGCTTAAATAACACGAGCAACTGAAATAGACAATATTTCCTTTGTGAGTTAAAATGCGCACTTTTTTCACACTAACTGTATATATACACTCTCGTAGACCAACGACAGAGATCACTGTTTAAATAAGTTCTTTAAGGAGACCAAGTTTTCATACACATCAAACTTAGAATAGTTTAGGAGAGCAAAACATAAGAATTGAACAGAACAGATAAAGACAAGAAGCCTGGCTGGTAAGAGAACAAGAGATCATCTGAATAAAATATTTTCAAGGGCAAAGTTCTTTGCAAAATGAGGGGAAACTATAAGGAATAGAATGGGAAACTATGGAAATTAAAAAAAAACAACTATGAAAACTATAAGAAATGGAAAGGGAAATTTAGATAAATTGGGAAGAAAAAGGAGGAAAACAATATGATGCTGCTCAAATATTTTAAATTTCTATTCTAAGATCAAATTTCAAAATAAATTCAGTTTAATACTAAAATAATTAAATAAAACATGCTTTATGTTTTATTGGGCATTTTGGGATCAATTTGAGATTAATATTCATTACATAAAGCTCAAGAAAACATTTTAGGAATGTGGGGTTTTAAAATTTTATTAAGAATCTCAATTCTGAAATAGTATTTCCTTTCTCCTCCTCTCGTTGTTTATTCTTAAAACAGGTAACAATATTATAGATAAATTTTCACTGTGTATCAATAATATGTAGAGCTGAATGAAGTATTCCTCTCTGAAAAAGCACAACTCAGAAGCACAGCAAAAGTTACAGAGGCATACTATGGACCCACGCACCAGTCGCAAGAAGTCAACAGTTGCATTCAATAGAATACTATTTCTAAATGCGCACGGTCTTTTTTTTTGCTTTTGAATTTAGAGTTTTTCACTGGACCTTTATCTTTCTGTGACAACAACGTGAGTTTTAAATAAGAAGCCAAACAATAACCTCTTTCAGTGTAAACGCTGAATGGAGAAGACAATCAAGTGTTCCTCTTACCTCGTTTTGGAGGTCACGGATCATTTTGCTCTTCCTTTCCATTTCAGTCTTCAAAAAGTTAATCTAGAATTTTAGGCAAATGTGGAGTGTGAGTTGTTGAAATGTACTAAACATCAGTTTGACCATTAATTATTTTTTTACTCTACTCACAGCTTTGGGAAAAAAACAAGACCAGAAAAACCTTCTGCTTCTATACCAAACTGATATAGCCCACAGTTAGGTATTTGCTAAATCTACAAACGCTTAGCATGATATTTACTAGAAAATTTATAATCAAGATAAGAAAACTGTTGTACAGAAATGAGCTTACTTTACTTTTGCACCAGTAAATATAGTGTTAATTTTTCGCAATGAAGTCCAATGTGATCTGCAGAGAACTAAGGGTTTTTATGACAATACTAACTGATTTTATGATCTCAAAATTTTTTCACCTTCTAAGAACACAACATCTATCATAGCAGGTTTCTAACACAGTTATTTGATTTGAATGCTACAGTACTGGTCCTAATGAGAGAAACCCATTGATTCTAATCAGACTCACCTGTGGAATAAAACGTATTATATGTGAAAGCATTCAAATCTGGTCTAGTTCCTATTCATTACAAATGCTCACCTTGCAAAGTAGAAATTCCCGTCTCTAGTTTTAAGACTGAATTTAAATGAACACAATTTAAAAGATTGTTTTTACATATCAGCCTAAGTTTCTTTCAGGACTGAGCGTTCCTTCTAGCTTACAGAACATGATGGAAGAAAGGAGAATGCAATTAGAACAATGGGACTAAAAGAACGCATTCCTTTCACTTTGAAAGGAAATGTTCTTGGATACCTTAATTAGCAAAATACTCATCCTTGTATACCCAGTGCCCCATTCCACGTTCTCCCCTCATTGATACAAAAGCCTATCTATGTTCATGAGAAACTAAGTTGTTCTGACATTGAAGCAAATTTGTTAAGAAAATAAAATCTCCGGAAGAAAACGGATTTAGATTATAGAGGCATTGACCTAGAGATTAATGGTTTGGATCTCCTGCAGATAAAAAATGAGACTGAATCTGCACGATGTGACAGTTGTTCTCAGAATCATGTCCACACTCCAGTAGACCGATGTCAGTAATTTAAAAACGATCACCAGACTTGACATCCCTCTCACCAGTATCAAAAGAGAAGTCAGAGAACACTATCATCACTACAAGAGAAAAATAGGCAGGTGATCCATGAGACTGGTGCCACCTGATATGCAGAAATGGAACATCTTTTGCAAACTCTTCCCAAATTCTCTCAGTGGTTTGGTTGTGGAAATACTAACTCCACATAGAGCTAACACTGAGGGCAGTGTTTTAACAGAAGATGAATATGTTCAGCACTTGCCTAACAATCACGTCCACAAATACTGAAATTTAGTCCATGTACACTGTATAAATATCAAGATTTTGCACAACAAAAAATAAAGGTCACAATCAAAATACAAGACCAGGATTAAATGGGGAAAAACATAAAATAACTATTCACACAGTGGGTTTTGGTTTTTCAGCCGTTCAAAACATTTGCCAGCTACCACTAAATACTGACAAAAATAATAGTGTGACCTCTATTAAGGTGTGTTCCCTTTCTTAGTCATAACTCTCAAGAGAATATTAATATTCCTTCAAATCACTTCACCTCTATATCTGTATATATATGAAATAATTAAAGAGATATGATACCAAAATTATTATCTGTGAGCTCTCTATACATGGCTTGTAAGTACCAGCTTGGATCTTCTAATGCAAAGAGATTTAAGATACCACAGCACTGTTAATTTAAACAACAATCTATGTTAGTTAAACCAATAATTTTTGTTAATTACTATTCACAGACACATGCATCTGATATTACTAATACGGACATTTTAAATACAGCAAACTTACTGTTTTAGCTTATCTGAATAACTAAAAAATATTTCTTTACATCCCTTTCTTTTAAAAGTAATACCAATATTAATGAAAAAGTCATTCATTTTGCTTTCATATTGTAACAGCATTTTTAAAGCTCTTCTACTAAATCTCTAACAACGGAAGAACCACTTAGTCATAAGGCACGGCTACAGAGGGCTACATAGGAGGGAAACATATGGCCTGGCTACGGAGCTAATAGAGAGACAACCTTGTCTATGTATTTAAGTGCATCTATGCTGTAACTTCATGCTTTCAGGCAGATCAGTCTGCATCAGACCACTTGCATGATGCTTTTAGTCAGTCCCAAGGACAAAGCATAATACCATTTTACAGAAGAGATGTAAAAACTCTACTTTCAGTCACCAAATCCTGATAGCATAATAAGCAAGAATAGACATTTATACCCAGCTCTAAATTACAAGGCACAGAAACTGAAAAATTGAAATGAAGAAACATTCTACATCTCCTCCTCTTCTTTACCCACTCTTTGTTCTTGTTTGACGTTCACCTCTTTCCACATGTTGGCTGCCTTTTATTACTATCTAGCTGTAATTATGAAAATACATAATAGAAATACATTGTTCTAAGGCTGAACTTTGCAATATAGAGCAAGGACACTGTTTCTGTCTCCCCGAGACAGGCATCCAAGGTACTTGGAGCTTTGTGTGTTTCAGAGCTCATTACATTTATTAAAGGCAACAGCTTCCATTCAGTGGCCTTTACTCACAGCAGTTTGTGACCTTGAAATGTTCAAATTAAATTTTCCCCCATAGAAATTCAGAATGCTTTAGCAGATGGCAGTGATCTAATTCTAAGAGTCAGACACTAGTTAGTTATTCACTACAGACGAAGGATGGAAGAATACCAATATAACATCATTACTACACAGCCAAAGCTCAGCTGCATGCTTATTTGCTAACCTCCAGACTTCTCATATCTCGCTCAGGACTAAGACTTCAGCAATTAAGATTGGACTGGAACACATTCACTAACTCCTAACTGTTTTGGCAATATCTGGAAACCCTATCGTACTCAGTATTAATTTTCATGATCTAATTTTTGAGTTATAGTGTAGGAATTGACTCCAAAAGCCAGAGAGAACTGGTGAGGCTATTGCCTAAAGCATAGGAAATATTCTTTCCTCTGGAAAAAAGTCTTCTACAAAGTGTTAAACACTTTGAAAAGCAAAGCTAAATATACTTTTATCTAAGAGGATTTCTTAGATGAATGTAACTTTTAAGATGTAAGGTATATTTTAATTAATAAAAATTTTGTCAGAGATATTTGGGACTTTAGGACCTGTCATAAGGGTTGTTACTAAACAAAATATTTTTGAAGTGAAATGAACATCTGATCTTTTCATTAAAAATATCACAGACATGAGTTTGTAATGGTTCTTCAGCTTCTTGTTTGGGGGTGGATATCTCTGAATTAAATTCCCTGTATTGTGTTAGTATTTTGTTACTAAGAAAAACCCTACTGATTTCAAAATAACCATATTGTTTATTGTTTGTTTTTACAAGTCATGCATAATTACTTAATTCTCATTTTTTATAGTGAACACTGAGCAACTGGGAAAAAGGAATTCACAGACATATTTTCTCCTTTATTTTGACAGACGCTACTGTAACTGTATTGTCAAACAATTCCATCACCATGCCTTTTTCAAAATTCTTAATATGATGTAAATTACCAACAGGAAACAAAATGTAAAAGACACATTAAGCTTAATCTATTTAGCCAAACTCTTTTTGAGTATTTCCCTGTTTCATTCTTCATATTTTCTCCCTCAAGCAATGAAGAGTCCTTCTCCAAAAAGCTCTAAAAGCCTGTTAACCTAATGCAAAGATACAGAATGACTACTTAGCCTATTTATTCATATCCACTGCAAAAAAAACCACTTTCAAGTTACGTGTGTTATTTGCCCTCTGCCTTTTGGTTAACAAAAGTGAAAATTAGTCTGTGGTCCCTACTCCTGTTCCTGGAAGAAGTGGTTCCACTTCACATTTAGAGATACAGCTTGACATTATTAATAAATTTTCTCACTGCATTACAACCTATTATGAACTGCCTCCATATTTGATATTAAATGCAGAACAAATAGCACTGTCAACCTTCATCAATTCTTAAAGAGGACAACAGGTTATTTGAAATTACATCTTACACATTTTATATACGTGTTTTATAACTAAGCCCAGTATGGTGCTTCTGACTAACAAGCTTTATCTCTTTAAGAAATGCTTTTTGATATACAAATACTCCATAGTTCTAGTGTGAGATGGTCTGTAGAGAAGCTCCCTCACAACCCAAGGCTTTCTGGAAGACTGTATTTGACCTTGAACTTTGTAACATAGAACTACTCTAATAATTAAAACCATCCTTATCATACCCAGTACTCCTCTACACATTTTACTACCCCAGATAGAGCAGCTGAAACAAGAGGCATAAATTTATCCAAGGTCTGCCATATATTTTCTAGAAAAGACCCATCCCAAGGTGGACTGCTTCTGCTCTTCACGTGTTAGTGATATAGATGCAGAAGACAAAGAATCCCAAAAGGGATTGCTCACTCCTGCTAAGGGCCCCCAGGTCAGTCCTCAGTGTGATTAGTACTGTAAAGGACAGGAATGTCTTTACACCTCCTTTTTGTTTCCTCAAAACAAAGGGCTGCTTCTACCCTCAGAAAGTTGTTACTACCTAGCAGCAGCTCCGCTGGCTTCTCTCTGAGAGACTGTACCCACCACCAAGTCAGCAGATCCTCAGAATGGCAGCTTTTTAGCTGCCTGCTGTTCTCAGCTTCTCTAGTCTTACAGGGCCAAAAAATGGACCAGCATGCACAGTGACATTGATAACGTTGTTTCTGATCAATCATTTGTGCAACTGATAGCAAAGAGTCCTGCCATAGATCGCACAAGACGTGGATGCAAAGTGTAATTGCATTGCTGTGGCGTCTCCTTTATCCTGTCGGTTTGGTCAGAGTCCTTGAATACTTTCCCAGGTTATTTTTCATGTAAATTGACTTAGTTCTTGCAAAATTTTACTTACACTTTTGGATTTACCTAATAAAGAGTACCTTCAGGCAGGCATTCCCTGTTGAATATATATAGTCAATTAACATACAGTAAGCCTTGTACTACACCTCCTTGGCAAGTGCAGAAAAGAAATATGTATTTCTAACCCCCCTCAAGTGTTTTTATTCATGTGTTTTTGATAAATGTAATTCTATTCTTTTTTACTCTGATGAAAATTAATATTTACTTCACTAAATCCTGTAGAATAAAATGTGCTTAAATTGGATTAGAAACAAGACTCATAATTCATTAAATCAGAATTAAATTCAAGCTTCCATGTTTTAGCTAGGCTTGCCTTAAAGTACCTAACCTTCTTTCATAGCTTTCATATTGGCTTCAGAAAAAAGTGAAACACACGGAGAAACCAGGTGTAAAGTAATCCTGTGTGACAGTAATAGTGTTTATTTCCATTTCTATCGCAGCTTTCATCTGAGGATCCTGAAGCACTTTTTGAATATTCATTCAGTCTCACTGTATTGGTGAGCTTCATTATGTACATTGTAGCCTGAGGCGTAAAGAAATAAATGTCACAAACCAAGGACACAGTTCTGCTTTCTTTAAAATCAGTGGCAAATGTAATATCCTGTCATTAGCAAGTTTTAGAATACAGCTCAAGGATTCACTTTCTCCCATCAGCTGACAACACTCCAAGCCAAGTTCTGTTATGAACTCAGAGGGAGCTTTCCTGGTTTCTACACCAGGTAATATTTTTGCTGACAGTTAACAGTAGGTTTTGTTTGACTTGTGTAGAACAAATCTTGTGTTCTTCCCCAGTGCTAGGGCGTGGATTGCATTTACACAGGGCACGGCTGTTCAAGTTTGAAAAAACCACTGTATTACATAGAACAACAGAGCCAATAATCCATTCACTACATCTGAGATTTATTTAACTCACAGCTGAATTAGTCTTGAATACCAAAATCTAATACAGAGATTAAATAACAAAATATGTTTTCTGCCGTTAATTTGTAGGACTACATCTCATTATGATGATAAAGCTAGTGAGAATGTGTTCATGCACCTGAATAAAGACAACTTTCAACCAGCATGTTCCGAGTACTTAGCAGAGACAAGTAGGTTCGCATTTTTTTCTTATTTGGGGCCGATATATCTTGCCTCAGCACAACACGATCTTAAAAACAGAGCAGATGGGGTTTTTTTCTGGATATATGCTGCCCTGGCTATGGAGAAAAACCCCCAAAATATGTTATTCTTTTCAAATTCAACACAGCATTCACTTTACTCCTTTTCTGCCCTCAAGAACAAAAGAGGATTTTTGTTCTCAAGACAAAATTACAAGTACCAAAAATCCACTAAGCAGATGTTGTAGGGGACACAAGAAGAGGTAAAACACTATCTTTACCCTTCAGACTTCTGAGCAGCAGAGGGGAAAAAATGTTTTCAAAAATCACGTTAATTGAAAGAAACCTGCAAAACGAATACTGTGGTTCAAAATCTGCATTGTTTCTAATTGGAAGGTAGCATGTAAAACAGGCACTCTCACATCTTGTTCACCAAGGGCTTAAACTCGTATCTTGTTCACCAAGGACATAAAGCCACACGTGAATCACACTCACACAAAAGAAGGCATTTATAAACACTTGCTGAATTTCATAATTATTTTTAAACCTCTGTCTTGGAGGAACCCTTGTTTTGTAAGCCTGGAACACAGTCAAATATTACTAAATAAACCAGTAATCGTCCAACACGAAACTAAAAATAGAACTATAAACCCTTCTAGCAGCTTGTTTTAAAGCCCAGAGTTAGAATCACAGAACACTTGAGGTTTGAAGGAACCTCTAGAGATTATCTAGTCAAGTTATACTCAGTGGTGTTCATGTTACAGGAATACTACTAACACAGGAAAAATTTCTTTTTTCCATCTTAGCCGAAAACGTGATTCTACTCTTATTTTCTGCAGTAGCAAAACGTGGCAATTTCTGCCCCCCCTGCATTACAGTGCTACTCAAAAATCCAACCAATTGCACAATTTATCCAGAAACAGAATTTCGTTAGCGCATGAAATCTTAATGGGACTTAATACCTTCCTACAGTAATAATTAGATCTACTGTGGTCAAAATTGGACACTATCTTTTCGTTGCTGAAAATCAGTAGTGATTCCAAAAGAGTCAGCGGGTGTGTGACAGTGCACACTGGTGTAGATGAGACATGAGAGTCCACAATGACAGCCTCATCAGTGAAAAGACTTAGGCCCAAGTGTCCAGGCTCAAGTCTGCAGAAGTGCATACACACAGCTAAATCTCACAGAAATTAGTGAAGACGGGGATCTTAGCGCTTTTGAACACACAAACTTTGTTCAGCTCCTTTCTTGAAGCTTGTAAAGTACCAACACATACCTGAAACAGAAGTTTTTTACATGCAAAGTTTTTTCAGCTAATGACACATTCTCAAGGCAGAAGGATTAAAAAAATACAGAAGAAACAAACAAAAATAATGAAAGAGGGACAAGGAAGCACTCACAGTAGCCTGCTGTTTTTCTGCTTTCTCAGCTGCTTCATTAAGTTGCTTTTGAAAGGCCTCCTGAAGAGATTTCATTTCTTCCCTAGTTTGTGGAAAACACAGAATAAACTTCATCACAAGTGTCCATTAAGAAATAACTCTTCAGATTCAAGAAAAAGCACCTTTAATTATTCAGAGTAACAGACAGATGTGCGGTCTCTATGTGTCTTGCTAATAAAATCATAACGACCCCATGAACTATAGTGCCAACGCAAGACAAAAATTATCTATGATGGAAATTGGCCACCTTTTACATCTACTGAGTAGCCTGCTGTGCAAAACATCTGCCAGTGTATAATTTTTAGCAAAAAACTTTGGCACTGAAAAAGCAGGGAAAGTGGGCTACTGAAGACTCATTGAAATGAAACCACACTATTATCAGTAAGAACTAGTTCATATCTCTTTTAAAATTAATAAATAAACAATGCTGTGGTAAAATTCAACCTTCACATGCTTCTTTCTTCAGAAAAGAAACACAAAATTCAGAAGAAGATTCTGGCATACAAATGGACAAGAAAAAAACAAGAATATAATTGTTTGGATTGGGCTTTATTTAAACCCCAAAAAAATTTTGTATTACTGATGCAGCCAGAAGCTGTGAGAATTGCAGCGGGCCCAGATCCTCTGCTGGCCATCTCTTTCTACGCACGGCACACGCGCACTTTGGAGCTGTGGTAAAGTAGAAGAGTGCCGTATTTCAGAACAGCTGCAGAGCTTTTTCAAGGCTGTTGCTCACACAGAAAAACCTTCACAGGAGACCGATGTGAAACTGGGTTTATACACAGAAAATAATTTAGCCCAGTGAAAACTAAACTGGAATGGAAACCATCTAGTTCATACAGGAACAGAACTCGTGAGCTGCTGGATAATCTTTCTTGTTAGCCTATAACTCTACTATTTTTAGCAATTTTGGCAATACTGGTACAACACAGTTTTAAATGAAATAGTGACTGAGCAGCATGAAACCAATGCACCATCAGCATAATACGGCTCCCTTACTGTATAAACAGATGCAACCATTTCCAAGTGCTAATGGTGCACAGAGAGAACAATACTTGAGGCATCATAGTAAAGTGACAAATTTTTACTTGCAACTTGGTTAAGTACTGAAAAATTCACACAAAAGATTTAAAAAAAACAAATCTAATTTGAAGTCAGCAGAACTACACCTACTTAAACAAGATTCCAGCACACTAAAGTTTACCATCCATCATTGCAGAGAATAATGAAAATAGTGCTCACAGACAAAACACAGCTTACAAATGTCCAAAGAAAGTAGATAAGATTAATACTGAGATATATTTTGAATTTTTGTTCAAACACAATAGATTTAAGCATACCAGAACGTTCACTGTCCTTCACTTGCTCCAGAGGAGGTACAGCTTGAAGCTGCTGGCAAATAAACAGCGACCCTTCCTTAGCAAAATTCTATGACGGGGATTCTCTGGCACATTTTTAACACCTGATTCTTACACGCAACTTCCACACCTCTCTAGCAGTAAAATCCAGTAAGCCTGTAACAGCCCATCAAGCCACAGCGATATCTCCAAGGCATTTCTTGGACTATATTGTAAAAACCTTTTCTTTTCTGAAGGAGGGTGAGGGCTGTTGAGCAGCATAGTGTGTATTGCACCCGTCCAGGGTCTATCTCTGGGAACAGTGGTTGGGCAGCATGCTCAATAGCTGAATCCCTTAGAAGCAAAAGTCAAGTTTTGGACGGACCTTGAGAGGCTTCAAAGGGTGATTTAAGGAGAAGATTGTAGTATGTAGCTAAGAAATACAAATTTTCCCTTAGCAGACTCAATTTTGCCATCTGCAACTAAGATCTGTGTAGTAAACAGGCCATTAATACTTTTAAGCAATTAATCTCTATTTCATAAAAGCTGCACAACAATCAAACCACTACAAAACCACATTTGTGTATAAAGGGTGGAGTCTGTGACGAGGGCAGCTGTGATGCTGAGATGTATACCTTCAGCTGCACCCAAGCCACACAACATGCAAGTGTTTAAATATGACATTAGCTGAAGTCCTATTTTCATCATCTAATAGATTTGTCTGGAATACTTGCGAAAGACCCTTATATATCTGATGCTTCTCTATGAAAGTAAAAAAGAGGAAATCTATGGGTATTGTATTATGGATCTTATTTGTTGTGTACTGAAGAACTGAAGGTCTTTTTTCAGTCTGGAAATGGAAAGAGAAGGGAGGAGGTGGGATCTTACCTTTGCTTTTGGCCCATTTCCAGAAGTTTCTGCACATCACTTTTGGCTGATGCTTCATCGTTTTTCAAAGACTGATAGCAAAGGAAGAAATCTATTACCAAAAAGATCTTTAAAGTTATTCATCTGTGAAATGATTAATTTGATCCTTTTTCATAAAATGCTCCTGGTGAATTGCAGATATTACTACTCGCAAGAAATGAGGAATAGCCTGACTTTTCTTTTAATATAAATCAGCACAGCTAACTGTACACAGCTGTTTTTCAAATATTAAATGAGAGTTGATCAAATAAAACAGATTTAGAAACAAATGACTAAAAGCATTAGGATTATATGACAGAGAAGTGTGTATATACAGAAGATAGTACTACTACAGCTCTTTGCCTATATCTGGATCTCTGCAGTGTTAAGTCTAAAATATCTGATAGTATAATTCCACCTGGTACTACTTTCAACTGTGCTGCATAAGAAATCACACTCTCAAAGAACTCTGTTACAAGGAGAAATACATTTCTCTAAAAAGAAAACACCTACAATAATAAAGCATGCTAAAGCACTTAAAAAAAGAAAAGGAGAAAAGATTCAATAGGCCAGAGATCCAATTAATCAGAAAAGGTTCACTTTAACTAGAACCAGAGAAGTCTGAAATAAGACAATATAACACTGTAACACAGCACAGTATTGAGACACAGTACCGGCATTCTCCTTTGAACAGACATAGTGATGCTACTTCTTATATTTTTCCCATTTAGCTTACATCAATGTGATGATAAAAATACAATGTCAGGAAAATACTGTCCTTTAAAATGGCATCACATACAGAGGCACATCTCAGTTGATAATGGGTCTGAATATTTTTACCAGACCAACAGGCTATCTCCAGAAAAGCAGGTGCACTCTTAAGTGAATGTCTGGTGATTTCAGGACTTCAAATCCAGACCTGGATTTTTCATCTACTTTTTGCTCCGAGGAGCTAATTTGACTCCAGAGATAGAATCTGACTATTGCCCTTTCCAGTCTACCCACGATACCCCAAAACCTCCCAAGTTAAATGTAGAGGTGTCTCAGCTCTAGCTGCAGGGTCATCTAGCAGAATTTGTCAGCTAAACTTGTAAAGTAATGCCCTGTAGTAAATCCAGTCAGTCTGCCTAGCTGGCATGTCAGGTGGGTAAAGGGAGCAGCTAAACCAGGCTGAGTGTATGTGACTCCTCAGCAAAGACGCGAACAGCAACAGCAAAGGAGATCCTTTTATAGTAGCTGCCAGAAGAAATGTGTGGTAACTCCATTAAGACAGCTTATTCTTTTTCCTTCCCTTCCATTTTCGTTCCACTACGCTCTGTTTTCAGATTTTATTTATTTTTGTAAGTGGACAAGGGGTCCAGCACACTAGGATTACGTTTTCCAGAAAAACATCATTTATGTTAAGTACAAGATCAACAAAGTAATCATCATTCATGCATTAAAAAAACCCATATTTTTTGTAATAAATAGATAACAATATTAAAAAAATCAAGGTATTTAATCTTACAGAAGCTGAGACATAACCTAACCTGGAGGTTTACTTTAATACCCTCAAGTTCTTTCGAAGTCTTCGACAGTTGACGAAGGATATTGCTCCTTTCCTTAAAGACTTCTTTCAGCTGTCTTTCCAGTTCTTCATAGCCCTGTCTGACACAGAAAATAAGAGCATGAGTTCTTATCAAAACATTACTCCATGCGTTTGAAAACAGTCTTAGTTAACCCAAACCAAATTAATTCCAACACTGTTCATAGATTCCAAACTAGAGTGTGGGAAGGTCCCCCTGTTCAGCTATGTAACTTGATTTCTCCTGATGTAGCTAAATAGATGCTTTATATGTCAAAAGGATGTACTTCATCTGAGTACATAAATTACCAGACTGAAACACTGCAAATAGTGTATTGTCTGTGATGAACAGGAGACAGAAAGGATGCGTTTAACATGAGTGATGGTACATAGTAGGAGATTTCTTCTATTTAAAAGATTTTCCATGCAGGAAACCAAGCATAATTTCCCCCCACTTAAACCTCCATACAGTATAAACTAGAACTGATATGCTGAGAGGAATCAAACCTCATTATCAATTAATGGATAAGTCAAAATATTCTTCTATCCTTTCCAAAATGGCAACTTTTACTCGGAACGTAACTACATGTTTTAAAGTTTCTGTAAAAACCACAACAAAATAAATCCAATGCATGTTGGTTTAGGTTGAATGAAATACAGATCCAACTCCCATACCCTATTTCAGGCAAAAAGCAAACATTTCTGTTAATTCTAAAACAACTTATTTTTAATTTAAAATTGTCATTTTGAGGATGGCTGGTCAGTGTATTGAAACACCTCTTCCTTCTATAACTTAAGTTTAATTTTATTTTATTTTTTTTACTCCTTGCTGTACCTCTGGTTCTAAGCAGGAGGAAGAAAGAATCTGAACTCTACGACACATCAGTACTATTTTATCATCAGAGCCGAGACCTTGAAGTTAAACAGGAATCTTAATGCTCCTTTTAATGGACTTTGAATACACATTTTAGCAAAGAAACTCAGTAAAGCAGATTAAATATGCTATCTAGTATCAGTCCAATCTGTTTTAGCAATAGATAGCTCACAAAATATGATAGATTTATGAAAGAAAATTATTCTATATTAAATAATACGTTGAATACCTAGGAGAGATGAAAGTGAATAAAACACCTCTTTCATCAACACAAGGTTTTAGGCAATGAATCTTAACATTATATTGAAGTTTCGAGCAATAATTATATTCAACTTTGACAGAATGTTGCAAATAAAAAAATGTACAGGTCTGAGTTTGCATCTCTAATGAAACACAAAAACATCTTCAGTTTCTTCTTGCTGCTGTAAAGAAGAACTGAGATGTTTTGGTCTACAACATAGCACCCAATACTTTCAGTGAAAATCTTCAGCACAACTGCCAGGCCAACTCTTCCATTTTATAGTAGGAGTTCTCTTTTAGAGGAAAGGTAAAAAAAGAAAAAAGGAGAGAGTTTCCTCCCCCTCCACCCCAATACCAAATTCCCAGACTGGTAGAATACGAACTATAAGCTTTCTAATAAGTTCAGTAGCTGGTAGATAAAAAGCTCAGCTGTCAGTAAAAAAATTCATCCTCTTGAGAAGTTTTGCTTTTTCTGTCAATTTGTGGATGAACTTTATTTCAAGAAACTGTGGTTTCCGACTGTTTTGATTATGTTCATCCACCAAGGGAAAGGGCAAACTGCAGATCTAGTGGGGGAACAAGAAGTACCTCTGAGAACGTCTGTAGGAGACATGGGGTGAAGTGAGTGTAAGAAGATAATGCCGGGACTCTGCTACCCATACCTAATGGTAACTAAACAGCACTCAGCAGTAATCTGGCTATCCTTAATATAGGTAACTAATGTTGTAAAAAATAAATTGTCTCAAATAGAGGTCACAGAGTAAAACTCATCATGGGTTTGCAGGAAAAACCATATGCCAAGATTACAAACCTTCTGGAATTATTTATATTGAGGTTTTGGTTCAAATTTTCCCATCAAATTGAATGAAAGAACATAATTGAATGAATTAGCCAGTTGCTAGAATGCTTCATAAATATAAGCATTTTGTTTGTTACATACGATATAAATAAAATCTACATCAGGTTTTATACAGAAACACCTACATTAATTCGTTACCACTCCAGCCATGTGTGATTTCAAACAAGGTATACATCACTGTAAAAGAGCTGGCTCGCCTCAGCAGATGTAACAACATTACACGTAATCAGGCTGACGAGCTTCAGAGAATACTCCTGTTTTAATTTGCTGGGGAACACGGGTCAAGGAGGGATTTCTCCTGCTAAATTAATCAGATAGTTTCGGTAAGGTCATCCCATTCCTCTCTAAGCATCACAAAAAGCATGTTAGACTTGATGGTCTCTTTCACCATTGAAATGTCGTGCTTTTGTTTAAAGTTAAACCCTGAATTAAAAAAAAAAAACTATCTGCAAGTGGTAACATTGTCTAAATGATCACTTTAAAGTAACATCACCACCCCTAATTCCAGAGTAGCCTGAGCACTTAGAGGCCATCTGACACAACCAGCCCAACATGGTCCCCATGGGTATTCAGCTGGAACAGGTTTCACGCTATTGTCCTGTAAATACTGATATCTACCCATTTACATAAACTAGGGAATCACCTGAATTTTAAATTTGAATTTAATATAAACCCTGCACGCACTTACATTTTCCTTCAAGCCATATTTTATGACAAGCCAGGCAGGAAGGAGACAAAATGCCAACAACGAACTTACCACAGAGTCACAAAACAAACTAAACCCTCAGAACTGTTACAAGAGAACTTAAAAAAAAGGAAAGAACAGTGAAGATACGCAGCTATCAGATCTATTAACTGTTAGGTCGTCAAAAGTTTTTAATTCTGGACAATATTATCTCTGATATCAAGCTTTGACCCTCAACATTGTGTCCAAGAACAGCATCCACCTGTTTGAACACAGTAAAATGCAGCTCTGCATCTGTGTGATAGCAAAGAAAGCCTTGAATCAGCCCATCTCTTCTGGTAACCTTGATTTCTACATTGTGAACTCATGTTGTTTAGACCAACAGTGTAACTCAAGTGAAAAAAAGATAAAATGGTAAATACAGTGGTCTAATAATTAATCACTTAGATTGTTCAAGAATTCCTATATTCTTCCACAAAACTGAATATATGGTCACTTTCACACTGCCTTGATATTAACATGATTCTCAGACTGTGTTTAAGGAAAGATCCGTGGTCAATTGGTTTGCTTATTTTTCCCTCCTTGAATTCTAAGCAACCAAATTTTAGTCTGTCACATATTTGACAAGCACTCTTTGGAGGGTTTCACACACATACACACAATATAATTGTAAGTATGGACAGGCAGCCCACATCAGCACGCCCATACCCTGCAGCTGTGCCATTGTATGAAAAGCATAGTGTTTTCTCCAAAGCTAATGTTAGCATAAAAAAAAAAAAATTTGATCGTGACATAGTAACATTTCTTTCATAATTGAAAACACATATATTACAAAACATTTAATAACAAATACAGAATTTTGTCCTGATAAGTATCAGCAAACTCCTCTGAATTTGATTAACTAACAAGAAGATTATTTATCTCATTAAGAAAAAAACACAGATGTAAAGCAATTGGACCTAATATCAACAAGACTCAATCAGCATAATTCCTCTGAAGTCAGAGAAGGTTTAAATTGAAGAACACTTAATCTACATCTAGGTACCTGCCTGAAAGAAGCATATGGGTCTTTCAGAAGTATGGCAACATCCCTCACCATGTGCGAGAATGTAAGTGAAGGAACTTTAGTAGCAAACCAGTGAAATATTAAAGTTCAATGGCAAATTATGTAGGTGTGGAGGGAGAGCAGATTCTTGCAGCCAGAAAAATAAGCTCTAAACTGAACAATTTGCTTATGCTGAACTTGGTTGCAGGTTTCGTACTACAGGATTCTGGAAGAAGCTGACTCAGAGAATGTGACGTACCACCACTGTACCACCCTGCCATAATCACCATGAAATCCCAGGGACTTTCTGAAATCTCCTGATCCTCACAAACCGTCAGAGTTCTTTTCATTTTGCAGTATTAATTATACTTGGCCCACTTAAGTTAGACCCATTCCTAGGAAGCCCACTATGCAATTATACGCAGATTAAATCTGTTCTCTGAATATTAGGTTCCACCAGTTACACAATTCTGCAAAATAAAATGTTATTATCCGCATGTCCACCTGGGATTAAAATAAATATTTATCATTTCAGCACACAAATGTGCTTTTAAAAATGTTCACTATGAAACACATGAATTTAGCAATAGTCTGCATGTTAAGGTCATCTGTAGTACTCTAATTGCAAGTTATTTTGTTTTTATCATCAGCCTATTGATGTAGTGTCAGTGTAAATTCCAATATAATTTGCTTTCAAGGGAATGACATTCGTTTATAGTTTTAAGCTTAGTCAGCTCTTTTGACTCTGCTATTATTCTTACTGACATGCTTTAACAGATTATAGAAAACATTTCAACAGGTTCTAATTTTCTATATGCAACAGAGACAAATGTCTAGTAACTTAGATCACTCCACCTCTGACTTTTATTTTCTTAAATATTAGAAGTTAAGCTTTTAGTCTTCAATATAAAGATTGAGTTTATTTCTCACTGAATAATACGTACTATGTCAGGACAAAGTAAAATTGATTTTGTTTTCCCACTAGGTTTACAAAGCCTGTCTTTGAAATACAACTTTTATAAAGATTTCAATTATTTATGGTACATAAACATTCCTGACCAAAAAAAAACCCCAGCCCTTAAAAGAGAAAATTGGAATACATTCTGCAGTTTAAGACAAACAAACAGATGTGTCTTTCAGCAAATCTGTTGTCAGTTATATTCTTAAATCTACTCTTTTGAAAAAAATTTTCTGCTCTAATTGCAATTAATAGTTTAGGGCATTCTGCTGTACATTCTATGAAAATTAGGTGAGATGATGAGAAGGTCACAGACCCATGGGTTTGGCCATTTTTTTAAAGAAGAAATAGTTAAGAGTATACTGTACACCTTTTCATGCATCATAAACAGTAAGTACTCCTTAAAGAGTACACTTGCAAAGCATGGGATTGCCTAGGTGTTTCTAAAG